ATTCAATATACAATTATTTTTGTAAAATTTAAAGACACTTAATTTAAATATAAAAGGCTTATATGGTTTTTTATTTATTTTTTATTATAGAATAGAAACAACTTGCAAAACTCTCCCTCTTTCAAATTATCTCCAATTTTTTTATAAATTAGTTTTGCTAAAGAAAATTTTTATAGAAATTTGATTATCTTATAATATGCTGGTGAATATTGAGTTGATTGATTTCGTCGATACAAAACATAATTAATCACTAAATTTCATTATATCCTTGAAATTTATCATTTACAATTTTTTATACATATGTTAAATAAATAATATGATAAAAATAAATAAAACTTCAAAAAAAAATATTACCATTACATGTCTAAAATTATTTTTTAAAAATTTTAGATTTATCAGAAGCAGTAATTTTAAAATTTTAGATTTTTGTTCTAACACATATCACTTACAATCATACACTAACAATTCAAAATTCAAAATTTTGTAAAATATATCAAAATTTTAAACTCACTAGAACTCAATTCGGGGTCGGGTCGGGTAAAATAAGAAAACAGTCGGGGTCGGGTTTGCCTAAAACCCGACCCGACCCGACCCGATATTATATAAAAATTTATTTTTTAATTTATTATTTAATTTTTTATTATATATATATATTTATATAATGATATTTTTAAATATTTATATTTAAAAAAATAATATTTTATATTTAAAAAATAATATTTTATATTTAAAAAAATAATATTTTATTAATTTCGGGTCGGGTCGGGTCGAGTACGGTTGCGTGGTATCAGGGGTCGGGTCGGATTCGGGTATGAAAAATAAAAAAAAAATTCGGGTAGAATCAGATTCGGATTTAATAAAGCTTAAATCGGGTCGGGTTCGGAGCGAGCAAAACCCGTCCCGAACCCAACCCGATGCCAACCCTACTTATAAATAGGAAATTCTCACATAATTTTTTAATATAATAATAAATAATTGTAGGATTATAGTAAAAATTTTATAAGTAAAAAATATAATATTCAATAAATTTTTATTTAAATCTCAACAATTTTTTTATTCTTATATTGTGATTTTTTATAAAAATAATATAAAATTATTAGAAAAAAAAAAAAGGTAAGCTACGTCTACGTATGTTGTTGGTCTAGAAGAAAACGACTTACTAAATTTATAATATAAAAAAAGCTGTAGATGTAAACATGTGCCTCACTAAATATGGTCAAACGAATAATAAATTAACAGGAAAAGTTTGGAGTAAGAAATGAAAGACGGCATCGAAATGGTGCAGGGCAGGCAGCCGGTTAACTCTTTGATCACCCTGCTATCCCTGCGAATTAAAGACCAGACCTGGTCAAATCCATAACCGTAGTAATTCTGCATTCATTATTTCATTATTATTATTATTATACACGTAAGATTCGTACTTATACTAAGTCCAAGTAAATTTCATGCGCTGAAACTTTGGATTCCTACTTATACTAATTCCAAGAAAATTTTATGGATTAAAAAATATATATTAATTTAATTAATTTATGTAATTATGAGATGATATTTGATGAATTTAAATTTTAAAAATTATATATTTTTTGTTATTAGATTGATATATAAAAAAAATGATAAGCCACCTACATTACACACCATTTGAATTTTTTTTAACATATGTTTTGCTTCTTTCTTAATCAACACTACATGATTAAATTTTATTTTTAGAAAGATTATATCGTTTATTTTATATAATAAATTTATCAAAGTTCTTTTCATTAGAAAGTTATGTTATTATTTTTTAAAAAATTTGAAGAATATTTTTGTAAATTTATCATGTAAGCTTAAATCTTATAAGAACGAATTTTATCCATACGATATTAAAAAAAAATAACAGTTAGACCCATTCAGCATATTTCTTGATATAATGGCGATTGTGTCAAGCATAATATTTTCTTTGAAAGATGTTAAGAGCACTATCTTATATTAATTTGATGCATTTAACATTTTATTTTTAAACTCTTCTAAAGATGGAATTATGGTTGACATAGAAAAAATGTTCCTCTTCTACCAATATTTGGATTAACCCGTGTGTAGAGATATTTATAGCTTAGATCGGACCAAATTTAATTAATTTTTTCAAAAGTTTTACTCAAAATTCGATTTGATCCATCAAGTTTAAAAAATTAAAATTTTAAAAATTATTTAAATGTAAATATTAATATTTTAAATATATTTTAAAATTAAATTTAATTTTAAAATATTTTTATTAAAAATTTAAATTAATAAAATCAAATTCGAGCTAAAAAATTATTATTCAAAATTCAGATGAGATAAATTAGACTTACAAATCAAATAAATAGTCAGATTGATAAACAAATTTATAAAATTTGACTTTAATAATGCCATCGATGAAGTCGTTTCTCATGTAATCAATCTTCTTTGGTAATTCAATGAAATCATTGCTGATGCAAATTCCTTACAAAATTACAAAGTTTTTTATTTACTAAATATTGCACAATATATCCAATGTCAACCTTAATGCCTAGGGTCCGTTTGAAATGGCTGCCTGACAAATTCCTTTCGGCCAACATTCACCCCATTTTTGGATTAAAAAATATTTGCTTTTAAACTATTTTTTTGAAACTTCATTTCATTTTATTTCAAACAAAATTATAATTCATTATTTTGTTGCCCACTCACAAGCTATGATCATAATAAATTTGATCATTCAGCTCCCCACTACATTTTGCTCTTCCATGTTTGTTTCTTCATTTTCTTCATCGTATCAATGAATCATTAATGGTAAAATTAGTCTCGTGATTAGTTGAGAATCTAGGAATAATTAAGTCAATTATAATTAGTTCTAATATTAGATCGAACAAAATTATTTGAAATGCTTAACATTGATATTAAATTTTGCAAATTTAATTTTAAAAAAATTAATTTCAGTAAAATTTATAAGATATAAAATAATCGTTTTCGATAAATTTTGTGATTTAATTAATAAAGTTACAAAACGATTCAAAAATTAAAATTTAATTAATTCACCAAATATATGAAAGCTCGAGGATTAAGTTGTATGATTTAATTAATTAGAATTCAAATCAAACCATGAATAAATAATTTGAACGAGGAAAATGTATGGGATGCGTATGGTTTGCAAATTGTTGCAAAGGGAGTGCATTTTCCTCATGGTAGGCGTTGACCTTGTGAAGTTTGTTTGATATTGTTCACATAATTGGTTACAAAAAAAAGTTACATCCAACATGATTACAAGGTTTTGCCAAACCAACAGCAATGGCTCTTTGACTTAATGAGTTAATAATCAATTATGATTGCAATTCATGGAGTTGGCTATTCCTATGCTTTTTTCTTGCAAAATTGGCGCCAAAATAAAGGTGAGGTTTGGTCATAGCTAATCCTTTGAAATGGTTCCCACCCTTCACCTTCTCCTCCTTTTCATCTCCTAGAAGATTAAATAATATTGTAAGAAAAAGTAAAAAGTAGAATATTTCTCACTATATTTTTTAATTTTTTTAATTTAGATATTTATAGGGTTAATAATTCAATTAGAATCAGTCAAATTTCGATCTAATTTGATCTTATAAAATTTTATTTTAAATCAAATTTTGAGTAAGTATGAATAAAAAAAATCAAGGTCAAGTTCGAAAAAATTTTGGTATATATAAAATATTTTTTATTATTTATTTAATTTTATATTTATATTTTAAAAATAATATTTTATATTAAAATATAATATTTAATTAATTTTGAGTCGGATCAATTCAATTATAATTATATATATGTGAATTGGATCAAATATAAAAAATAACAATTAAATATCGAATAAGGTCAAAATTTGATATTAAATATATAAATTGGATTAAGTTTGAAGCGAACAAAAATTTAACTCGATTTGATTCGTTATCATCTTTAGATATTCGATACAGATATAATAATTATTGAATCGAATACTCAAATTTATTTATATTTATATTTATGTTAAACATACCTATTTTTTCAATAAAAATTTTCAGAGATTTGGTTAGAAGTTTTATCAGCTTATATTATATCATATAATTCAAGGTGAATATGACCATTGTAAAAAAAAAAAAATTGGAGAGACATAATTGAATATTTGTAAAACTTTTTTTTTTTCAATTCTTGTGGGCCAAAAGGGATCAATATAAAAAATTCTTAAAATAAAAAAGGATGGAAGAGAAAGCCTAACGAACTTGAACAATGACTAGAAACAAAGTAAAGTTGTTCCACTCACACTGATAACTACATCTGCCATATTTTTATATGCTTCAAGTCCCACAAATGATGCGCATGCATACCTTTCCTGGAGAAAGATCTTGTGTATAATAACTCCGCATTTCTTTTCTTTTATATTACTAATAATATATTCATTTTTCCATTTTTTTTTTTCCCGTAAAGCAAATGTTTTCAGAGCATAGTTAGGGATTTGTACCTTCTTTTTGGCTAGTGTGTTGGAAACCACAAAATCTATTGTTTGGTCAAATGCCCTAAAAATGCTTCATTTAAATGGGTGGTGGGAGGGATTTATTGTGTTATGAGTGTTATTTTATAATTGAGGTCGGATCATAAAATAATATCCAGGTGAGAAACCCTTTAATTTTTTTTATCTAAACGACTTTAATTAATTGAAAGTTGTCGTATTAATTTAATTCAAAGGAATAATTTTAAAGAGCTCACACAAAAGTTTTAAAACAAAAGAAATGTTATAGCACATAATGCCATTAAATTTAATACACATGTTTTCCATGAATGATTTTTTTTTATTTTTTGTGAAATATTTTCAATAGAAAAAGGGATGAAATTGCATACATCTTAAAATTTTTTTTTTAGTACCTCGGTACTTGATAAAGGTTTGAAATTATATGGTCCAAAGAGAATTGGTGTGTTTAAAACTATGCAATGGTATATGATAATCGTAATCTTGAGAGTCCCCTTAATTTTGAAAGCAAAAGCTTCTGTTAAACACAAAGCTTTCCAAAAAAAAATTTTGCCAAGCGTAAAACTGCTAGCAACTTCTAGAAAGAATAGTTCAGCAGATGAGTTTCCTTGCATTGTGTTTGCACAGTTTGCACTCTTTTGGCCTTTTATGCATCGGTTTTCACCAACTTTTGTAAGGTAAGATTACTTGTTTTCTTTCAAGGGATGGCATATGTTGCCGATGAGGAGTCTGTGTCTCAAAATTTTCAAACTTTATATGTTTGCATTAGGCCGACACAGCCTTATCAACCTTTTACTTTTGCAATTTTTGGTATACACACACTCTTTTGGGTTAAAAAAAGCCACATATGATAGAAGAAGGGATTGCAGGAATTTGATTTAATTCCTGATCCACTAAATGTCACATTTTATTAGTGGTTGCGTGAATCAACTGAGTTAAATTCTGGGTTTGGTATGCATACATTTACGATTACTTTGAACATGCTCTAGGTACTTCAACCATTGAGCCAATACAGTGAGAGGGTGCCTGAATTAGGCCAAGTATATAATCTCTAATCAGTTAAGCGACACTGCTAATTTATTCGCTTGAATAATGCTAAGCTCATCAAATATTCAAGCAAAAACTAACCAGATGTTTTGTTACCCCCTAAACCAGACATGGCATGTCCTGGTGGGTTCAAATGACTGATATCACCCCAGGCTTTTATGGTCCAAACATCATTACCAGATAAGTGAAATATGTTTACAGAGGTATTGAGTATATTCCCCCTAAACCTGTTTGAGCAAGCCCGCCTATAGAGTGCTCTTATAACACCTCCATGAGTGACTACAACCACTCGCTCTCCTGCCATTGGGAAACAAGCAACAATCAGGAAATTTAAACAAAAAATATATAATATTCTAGCAGCAGTGTCAGGGAAAAGTAGAAATTTCAAGGCAAATGAAAGCGCATCAGAAGGTTTAATGGTACATATGGAACTGGGAAGTATCTAAACCAGGTAAAAATGAAAGTAGTATGTTCTATAAATTGATTACAGACAGTTCTTTGGGAGTTCGAGTTCCCTTTGACAAATGGCATAAATACCTGTATGCTTCTGTCCAATTCTTTGCAATGAAGATGTAGCACGGTAATAGAGTTGGTCTAAGCTTTCACCACCTCCCTGCATACATAGTAAAGATCAGAGCAAGCACATCAGTAGCGATGCCGATGCCTAAAGCCTGTTAGTGCCTAGGAAGAGTTATGTAATCAGCTGCCAAAGGGCCAACCTCAGGACAAAGACGTAGATATAGCCAAGTTTGGCCCAATATTAATGGTTACTGGTATGATAACTTACTGGTATAACTTGATCAGTCCTGCGAGATGAAAAGGCACTGTAAGCCTCGGGACAAACTTTGGCTGCTTCACGGAATAGAAGACCTTGAACATCCCCTAAATGTCGCTCCCGTAAGTCTGGATCTTTAATAACCTTGAATTTTTACATCCAAAAAAAATGTGTAAAATTTTCTCATCTAAATGCTTGCACACTAACTTATACCAAAAAAACACTATTGAACGCTACTCAATCTAAAAACTTAAACTGATGGATTTCTAGATCAGGTCTTGACGTATATGTTTTGCTTTTTCGATCCCATTTCTAACATGGGGTAATCATACTGGTGAACTTCATCAGTTCAAACTATAGAAGTCCAATTTGAGGAAATTCAACTGTGAAAATTCATACCTCAAACTTGCCACATCTTTCTGCAATTGTCTCTGCTGTTTCAAGAGCTCGCTTCAAATCAGAAGAATATATGGCGGATATTTCAGGCTCTAGGGATAGTCGATCAGCTAACTTCACACCCAGAAAAGAAGAGTTTTCAAGCATCAGAATCAGAGATAGATCAGAAAAGTCAAAAGAAATTATTAGTAAACAACTACATACCAAAGCTGCTTGTTGTCTCCCAACTTCATTTAGTTCAACATCCATATGTCCCTATAAAAACAAAAATTAATTTAACCAGAGAAAAGAAAAACCGTAAATTATCTCAAGAAATGTTGTAAAAATTTTTCTCAGGTTTCAAAAGAGAGACGAGAAGAGACTTGAATTCTTCCATTTGCATTCCATGCCGTTTCTCCATGACGCACCACGATAATTTCAGTGTAAGCTTGATCCATGGAACTGTTAATTCAGCACCACAATCAGATGAAACAAAAAAAAAAAAACCCAAAACTCAAATATTAATCAACTGAAAGTTTTGTTTCTTTCATTTCTGAAGTGATTTACTAAGAACTAGGTTCGGACATAGATATGGTTAAATAGTTTCGTGACTTGGTGGTGACTGGTGAGTACAAGCGGCCTGTTTTGTCGTGGACGAACATTGTTATTTGAAAACGGTTTTAGTTGGCGGACGTTTCAAGCTGACAGGAATCTTAACTGAGCCAAGAATCATGCGTTCTTTCCTTTATCTTTTCTCTTTTAAAGAGTAAAATTCATCATGTCTCTTAAGAATCTTAAAAATGATTGATCATTTCACACAAAATTTTTTAAAAGTGTAAACTTTTTTACTACAGTAATTCTAAACAACTTATCATAATTAAATTTGAGCAAAAAAAAACCTGACAAATACATTATTGACTGCTGGCATTGGAACTTAGTAGAATCTGCAAAATCTTGTGGACATTTGGAAATCGGATCAGTTCTTAAAATAAAATGTGTCAATTTATCATGGCTGAAGGCTGAATTTCAGGCTGGCCAGTAGGATGAGATTGAGGGAGGGTTTACAATGAAGGATCCCTTGCCAGATTTATCAGGAGCCTCCTGGATCAGCGAAAAATGTTAGGCTTATGGCCATACAAGTTAGCATGTGATTCAATTTTGATATCATTTGGTTTTTCAAAGCCGGGAGCTTCCTCTTTCAACATGAATTCTCTCTAACAGTGGCTGAAAACATATTGCTGTTAACCCAAGAACAGATAATCATATTCATGCAAAGAAGAAATAAGATAAAAAGAAACACATCCATCCTTGGCAAATTGGCGGGTTTATGTAGCCATGGAACAGAAGGTTACAACAGAGGCAGGGAGAAGTTTAGCTTTAACATGAATAAAAGAACAACAGATCAATAAGGAGAAAGGCAGCTGACAAGATAATCATAGATGAAGAAAAAATTAAACCAAGAGGAGACAGGAGATCTATTGAAATGACGGATTCAAGGGTTTACTAGACAAAGTAAAACTTACATGATCGGAAAGCAAATGAAGAGGTTGTTGCTGTACCATAGTTTTGGCTAAAGATCTATTGAAACATTAATATAGAGTTTGCCTTTTTTCTCCTGGACTCGTCTATCAGCAAACTGCAGTAGTTTTACAAATTCAATTACCTCCACAGAAGAAATTAAAGGGAAGTGCAGGGAGGAAAGCATTAAATATTTGACATGTTCAATAAAAGAATAGGTGATGATCATCAATCTTCTTCCTTGCAGCTGCAAGCCCTTTCTATATTCCACCAGAAGGGCAGAAAACATGACACAAGATGAAGGTCATCCCCCGGGTTCTACTAAAAGCATAAAATTGAATGAGTTTGATGAACTAATACTAAGGATAATCGCAAAGTCTTATTAAAGGAAAAGATGATTTAACATCATAAATCTCACATGAATCCTAAAATATAGATAATTTAAAGTTAATTATAAATGTGACTAATAATGAAAATAATTGTAAGTAAGGTCATCCATTCCATTCCTAACATTTGTTATAAATAACCAAAATTGGAGTGATGCTCGGAAAGGTGAATAGACGAGACTCAAAGAGGATGTAATTTTGTATTTTTTTTTGCCCCAAAACATATACCCAAACAAAATACATGAAATTTCCCCTCGAATAATTAGACATAAAACCAAAAACAGTTGTTGGTTGTTACATTGTCATTGTTTCTTTGAAATAGAAAGCCAAATTAAGGCAAAACTTAAAATGGGTGAAAAGACTTTGATTTAATAGTAAGGTAATACTACAAATGTTAAAATGGTTGGATTTTTATATTCAAATGGTAAAAAATGTGATGTAGCCAAAGAATTGAATATGGCAATGAGAGCAGCAATGGTTGTTGGTGTTTTCATGAAGTTGAACAAAGGGTAATGAAACTCAAAATTGAGAGGTCCTACATTACATCAGGAAATGCATTCATCAGTTTCAACACCTTACATTTACATGTCAAAGCCACAAGGTTACATTCAGTTGTTAACAAGCAGAAGCCTGCATTTCATTCCGGACAGAAATTTTACACTTGATGAAAATAAAAGGTACTTCTTTTGCTGCCTTACAGATACAAGTTCCTAGGTGGACTAGTTGACCACTTTGCAATTCTTCCTTATCTCCCCATCTTGTCCTGTTAGCACACCAATGTTGGCCATCTTCACCATTGATGCTCCAAAATCTTTTAAAAACAGATATGGGTACTTGCTGTAGTTAAGGACGATTAAGGCAGTTCTATTATCTGTACTAAGAACATGATCTGACTGCAAAAGACCAGAACTGTTCACAAGATTTTTGTAGTAGCTGTTGTCAAATCTGTTAGCAGTAACGGAATCCAAAGGAACCAATTTGGTGTCTGAATCTGCTTGATCTGGACAAACGCTTTGAAGACCTCTGAGAAATGATGCATCAAGTTCTGGATCAGGCTTGCCCGAACCACCAAAGTTGAAGAGCCTTGACTTGAATGTGAAACATTGAGCAAAGCCAATGGTGTGAGCACCTGTGTTTGGCATATCAAGATCCTATTTTGTTAATCACATGGCATCTAGTTCAAGCCTACTAACTTGTTAATTATTCAGAAAAAAGTCAATTGCAATCAAGTTTTTATTTTAAGTTAAAGCAGAAAAGATAAGATTGATACTTATGGCATTGAAGGTTCATTTCTCTCTCTTGCAGAAGTACAATAGAAGTAGAACTGATGCAGGAAGCATACCTGACAGCACAACCACATCCTTTATATCAAGACCCTTTGCATTGAATTTTGCAATGATGTTATCCAAGGACTCAAAAGGTGATGGGAGTTCATTAGCTGCAGTCTTATTTGCTGTTCGGCCATCTCGGCGACCTAAGGGTACCGGCCAATATGATCCGCCTGCCTGAGAAGAAATATATATTGATAGCATAATTGACATGAACACATGAAGGAACATAATGATGTACAGTCCAGAACTCAACATAGAAGGGTTAAAAGCAATGAATGATAAATGTTACTTACAAAAAAAACAGCATCCCTTGCTGCAAGAGTTAATATGTCAGTACAAGAAACGGTTGATGGGCAGGCTTTCTCCACATTAGCCTTTATATTGTCAATAACCTCATAACCTCTAACTGAATTTTGATTAGGAATTGCATTCTTTTCCCCAACAAATGTTGAGCCAATATCATCAAGTAAGATAGAAGCTTCACATCCCTGGAGAGAATCAAAGAGTTATGAAAAGGAAAAATCCTGCCGTAAGTTTGCAGACAGAAAAAAAAAAAAAAAAATTCAGTTTTATGAGCAAAAACCATGGATTTGTCCATGATAGGACAGTTATCGAATGCTTGAATTGTCCTAAGTTCTTTGTAAATGTTAAAGTTTGTTTCTCCTAAACATTTTTTCATCTACTTTCTTTTTGTTCTTATGTGTTGTTAGGGACAGGGTTTTGCTTTTATGCAATCCTACCAGAATAATTAGGCCTCAAAGTACAAAAAATAAATAGAAAAGAGGACAATCTCATTACATTAACGAAACAATCATGAAAGTGAAGTCGCACAAGCGAGGCCGCCATCCTAGTATCATTAGCAATAGCTGACCAAACACCATATCTAACGATTTTCGTGAGGTCGGGACAAGTGCTATCATAGAATTTATAATCAAGTTGACAGAACACCAGTTGACTCAGAAACATGATGTAAAACAAGTGAACAAAGGGAAGAAGTTTGCGGGTTTTGCGTTCCATATCTTTAAGCGTAAATATTGTAACCAAATGCCCACTAGTGTTGTAGCTCAGCAGTGGAACTAGGAGCCATTTATACACAAGCACCCACAGGAAAATGCATTGCCAATTTCGATCAAGTTCACCAGATAGTGGGGAAGCCACTATTTGATGTCCCCTTCTAATGGTTTGGTACAATCCCATCATGGGAATTGAAAATGGCTCTAAGTGGCATGATGTTGTATTCCTCTAGAAAAGATTAATTGAAGACTGTAAATTATACTCTCAAGTTTGACTTAAATGTCTAGATTTGAAGAAAAATTGGGCTGCAAAAAATTCAAAGGCATGCGAAATTACTCAAGAATAATTCTCTTTTCATAAACCATTTCTATATGCCGAAAGTAGTATCAGTTTAATCTAGTAGTGGAAGATACACTCACGACAGTTCAATGGACTGGTGAAACAGATCTATCAATGGACAATTTGCGTATCAGCTAGTGCAATGCAATCAGCAATGGATAAATATTTTTCAATGTAAGCAGGAATCTACAACTGCGGGGCAAGTGGGGGCTAGGTGGGAGTAGTTAAAGGAGTGGGGGACAAGAGGACTCAGTTAACCATTATAGGAGTGGAAAAGAATAAGAAAAAAGGATGAACTCAGGAGTGTTATACACCAATTGTTTTCTAAGGCAATTGAGATTAAGTCAGTCATTTCTCTATCTACAACAGAATTGAACGGTACTCAATGGCCACTTAAGGGGGTTTATTTCAGACTTGAACTACCATTCTGTTAGATATTTTCTGCTGCTATTTTTTATTTATTCTCGTGCCATTGTCATAATCTTTGAAGCTCACAAACTTGTCAGAAAATTCGCTGTTGCATAACGGAGGCCAAGTTACCTATTTGAGTGCTACAAAGAAACCTTTGCTCATCCAAGCTTTTCTGAGCTTGTGCGAAGAAAAACTTATCCTTGAAAACAGGGAAAAAGGAAAAAGATCAATGGTCGCGTGTGAAAGCCTTTAGGACTTGTTGAAAAACCTTGGGGCTCAAGTGGAGATCTTGCTTAATGATCTGGATTATATAAATGGTCTGTCAAAATGAAAACTTGTGAAATCCACTGTACTAAATCACTTAATGAAATTTCCTTTTTTAGATTCTTTTGCTATAAATTCTTGCTAGTGAAGCGTAAATCAATTACTTTGGTACAACTTTTCCTTCCTCTGGTTTCTATTGAGCAAACTCAGCCATTGTGAACAAAACCCTAGACTCTATATTCAAGAAAAAATGGCTTTTATGGAAATAGCATATAGAGGCTCGAAGAATTTTGTTGTTTCTTGACATTTCCATGTAAAGGGAATTATTCCATTATTGCTTTCATTTTCATGACCACAAATGATGTCCCTCTCCTATTGACGAGACAGTTTTCTACCATTCGTTTTTTTTATGTTCTTTCTTTGTCATCATTGTATAAAACACTGTCAAACCCACTTAATGCTGTTACCAAAGTTTTCCAGTTGACTGAAGATCTTACTTCTCTCTTCCGAGGGAAAAAGAGAAAAAATGTTAGAACTCTCAGAAATTAAGGAATGTCTATAAATTTCTTGGCTGATACTGTTAAGACTGTTAAGATTTTGTGAAACCTCCAGATCTTCCTCTGTCATAAAGTTCACCAGCTTTTAATATTCAATAGTGAAATGTAGGGCCAATCCAACAGCATCAGCATCGCCACTCAAATCTGATTCAGTCGTATTTGTTGTGTTCTATTTGCAAAATCAAGAAAGCCCTTTCTCTCGTTTGGTTCCTCTTCAATTATCAATTAATTTATCCCAAGAAACATTGAACTTCAGGCACAAACTATAGACATTGACATTAACCATTAATGCCGATCTATATTTTTTCTTTTTTCTCTTTTTATAGCTTGGAAAAAGGTGGATTCCAATATGGGTTCTGGAAAGAAAAAGGTTTGGCTGCCAATACCACTAGCATATCCATTGGTTCACGAAAATCATGATTCATTCTCTTAAATTTTCCATTATTATTTTGAACCAAAATTCTGTATGCATTGGCTGCAAGAACCTTTTTATTTTCCTTGTGGATGGCTGTAAGATGTAAACAGAGAAATCTTGGCTTTGTATGGGACATGAGTAAAAGATGATCAAGGTCTCTAAAAGAACCTGTTAATTCCCAGGTTGAGTACTTTGGCAATTGGCCTGAATCTATAAACACTAAAGCAACAGGTAGTCAGGAATCAGGATGAACTGGGCTCCTTTTAGAGGTAAAGATACCTTTCAATTTGAACAATATTGTCATGTATCCAACTCATTGGTGCTATCCAATAGCTTAATTCTCAAGAGTCATATTCAGCAACCCAGCTTCTTGACCACCAAATATTTGGAGTTTACAATATCAGACTGAGCCAAAAGCACTTTAAAAAGCCATTGTAATTACTTCAAAAGTGAAGGAAACAAAGTTCTAGATGTCAATTAATACTCTTGGAATTATATTTTCTGACCAAAAAAAAAGAAAAGAAGAAAGAAGCTAAAAGCTGGATGAAACAAAAAAAACATCATCATAACATGGTAAGAATAATATGAAGTACTAGTTCCTTCTAAAGCAATATCTGGTCTTTTTTTCATTGAGAAAAGGCTAGAACAATCTCGGAATATATAGAATTGAGTTTTTCCATGACAAACTTTGTAAACTATTCTAACAAAGGTTGTAACAGCATAAGTAATCAAAGCAGCTCTCCGTGCAGTCATAGCAGCAAGAACAGCTGCAAACCCAGTAACACCCAAAAAGGGGAACCAAAAAAGAGAAAGATAGAGAATTAAACAACTATATATGATATAACAAAGCCTTTGGAAAAATGAGAAAAAGGGCACATACCATTCATCAACAACTTTGTCTTGTTCATCTTCTTCAACCTGGAAACTCTTGGTGGAAGTCTCAATGGATTGCGTTGCAGGTGGCTCCATGTTTTTCTTGTCTGCTAAAACACTTTCGAGAAGATGGCTTTGTCTGGAAATGTCTTTTTGAGAGTTTATCGTGTCTTTTAGGGGGCAAACTGAAAGAGAAAAGTGAAAGGAAAGTGCCAATGTGCGTTCACGTCATCACGTGAATGCAATTAGCTTGGTTGAAAATGAAGTTTGAAAGTGATACCACCATTAATTATTCTTTGTTTTTATTGATTTTTTAATTAAAGACTTCATGTTGACTAAAACGATGACTGGGGAAAGTGCTCAACCTGTGAAGGTGGATTTAATCATACAACTCAACGGTTGAATTTGAAAGACTTTAATATCTGATTACTTGAAGAGGCCCAGGGGGGTCGGCTAAGAAGAAAAATGGAATTCAATATGAAGCTGATCTGGTCTTCGATTAAATTTGGTAGGGCCTTTTGATTCAAAGCTGACTGTTTAAACTTTTAAATAACTATGGTTTGTGGTCAATTTTGGTATTAATGGCGATTGCCTTCTTTTCTTTCTCACCCCCTTATCCATCTGCTCTATTTCTCTCCCTATAAAAGGCAATTTGGGTTTCATGGCTGGTGTGGATCACACGATTATAGCTTTTAGTAAAGACGGTTCTTAGAGAAATCTAAAAAGGCTGAGCCATTTATCGGTTCAGAAGAAATTTGGTTTTTAGCAAAAGAAAGAAAAATATATAATTTAACAAATTATTTAATATAATATTTAAATTAAAAAATTTTTAATATAATTTATTAATTAATATGATATTTAATTTTAACGTAATTAATTTTAAGTGATGATATGTAATAAATAAATAATTTAATAATTTAATTTTTAAAATTTAAATATTATTAAAATTTTATTATAATTCAAAAATCATTTGAAAAATCAGAATTTCTTTTCCCTCGAGGGCCTAACATCCCGAGGCTAGCTAGTCATAGGGTAGGAAAATTATTGAAGAAAGTAAGGAATGATCGAAACTCGAAAAGATCATGTCCACGAGTCCAATAGTTCATGGTAAGATTTCCCACTCCTTCATTCCCCTTCAGACATTTCACTTTTTTTTTTTTTTTGGTCACTTTATCAAGTATTTCAGTGCCACAATAATCCACCATTCATTGCTGCATTGGACATCAAATAGTACAAACTAAGATGGCGCCAATCATTAAACAAAATAATTTGCAAAAACAATGCAGGATCCAGAGGGTAGAGAGCAATAGGGATGTGGGAATTTTGGTGAAAGATACATGGCTAACTTTTTTTTTTTAATTTTATAATCTGTCTTTTAACCCTCAAACTCCTATCTACTTAACTCATCTGAGAAAGAAATTACGTGTCTAAATCCTCAATGAATGTGTATAATATATAAACAATCTAAACTAATACCAAATGACGATATATGGCTAACTTAAACCTTCTAAAATCTAATAACTCATTAGACTCATGGAGATGAAAATGTCACCTTTTGTAAGATGTATATGAAAAAACGAGCTAGCTTAATTTTAAAGTAGTCAGTAGTAAACAAAACCCTGCCTCCTACTTCTGGACACACTTCCAGTTCAGGAACTTCAATGAAGCATTGATTACAGAGATCAGGTAGGGAGCTTTTGGTTCAGCTCTCCGTGGCCACAACTCAGACGGCATCTCTCAGGGTCTCCAACGCAATGCTTGAAGCTGCCTTATCAGTAGAAACCTTGAAAATAATGTACAGTGCTTCTTCCTCTCCGCACAGTTACTCTGAAAATATGGTTCTTCTTAGACTCCTAGTTGTTAGATCCATTAATGGTACCAAAAGGGATGGGATGATGAGTATTTTGACCCGAGCATGGAGGAGAACTAGGAAGAGCCCCCAACATAGAACAAGGAGAATAATGTGGGGCCATTGTCAAGTTGGAACTCTTGTAATGAGATTGTTGTGCAGTCTCACTCGGAGAAAAAGAATAATGCGTGAAGCTGGAGTGGGCAGTCAAGAAAAGAGTAAAGTTTACTAGATTGAATTCAGCTGTAAGGATATGCAAATGTAACTCTTACCTGTCAGGAGTCACTGTCTTTGTACCTCGCAGGTTTTGCTGCACTGGCAATTGATCCAGTTTATATTCAGATTGCTCTCTTGGACTAAGGGGCATATCCTGCATATATATTAAACCAATTAGTAAATAAACTATTAGATGCCAGCGGCAACAAAAGGGAAATTATTTTTATTTACCATGGACTTTATCCCATTAGATGACGAGACGCTTGATGAGGCACCAAGCGGTGTGAGCATTTTACAAATGAATGCTCTAGTAACATGCTTGCAGTTGGTCTCTCTGCAGGATTTCTTCGGAAGCAGCAGCACAGGAAATCCTTCCCCTCGGGTGATAATGTTTCAGGTATGAGAGGGGTATCCTTCATCACTTTAAACAAAGCTGCAGCCTGCATTAACAAAGGGAATTTGGAGAAATTGGCAATGGCTCTTATTTGAAAACAAACTAGACCAAGCAATTAATCTTGTACTTTTCATGCGGACAATTAGGGCACTCTTAACTCTTAATGATTGGTGGACAAGTAAGGACTTTCAGCACAATCTAATCAACATACAATGTAATGTATTACAAACGGCAGTATGAGAAACACGGAACCCAACTTTTTATTCTTCATTTTTTCCCAAAATCAATGACTTCTAATGCAAAGGTGAAAAGTGGGCACGTTTAAATTTTCTCCGATCCTCAGCATGATTAACAAAATGAATTAAGATACATCAGGTGCTTACCCCTTCATACTCACTCCATGGTGCTTTACCAGTGAACATTTCGATAATTGTACAACCCAAACTCCAAATATCAACAGCTAGAGCATGATCAGAACTATTATCTCTCTGCATCACTGCTAGCATGAGCTGCAGGGAAATGAATGATGTCAGCATGTTAAAACTACAGACCACTATGTATTGAGTGGCGAGATGGTACCTCTGGTGCCATCCAGTATGGGCTTCCCTTCAAAGATAGATCAGCTCTTTGTCCACTAAGCTGTGCAACAAATGGATCCAAAATTATTCAAGCTGAATCAGAAAAATAACAACTAGCAAAGACTTTGAAGCAAGATGTCTTGGAGGAAAACTAAGTAATAAGAGGCAAATTACGACGACAATGATGGCACATCTGCTACACCAACCTAATCAGCTCATCACAGCCACAGTTAACTATTCAAATTACAGAATATCTCATCTTTCTCCTGATTCTTGTTATTTTTGGCTTGAATATATCCTAATCAAGTCTTTAGATTTTTTTTTTTTTTGATAATACAATCATGGGTATCCTCAAGCTTTGCCTAGATCTAATCCCCTCCCCTGGTGATCTTAATGGTGCACTGCCCCACATCAGCCTAGTGAATTTAGGATTTTACTCCCAAAGTGCTCCCGACAAGGCTCAAACCATGGTTGACAAGGAAGAAAGTTCCTCTCGTTACTAACTAGACTAATCCTTGTAGATAAGGCTTTAGAACTTTGAAAGCAAGTACTTTGCTAATACAGCATGTGATGTCTCCCAGACCAGAGGAACATAAAACCATACTTGTAAAGCAAAGAAAATGAAGAGTTAAAAGATTCCTTGCTTGAATACTACACAGCTGCAGTTCTGCCAGCACATAACAGGTGTTGCAACTTTGTACAAGCACAATAATAATCTCAATAGAGAAAAGATAATCTGTCTTCTAACTTGATCTGTGCTTATGTCAATTTATATTCGTCACTTCTTTTATGCTTCACTAAAAGGTCCAAGAAAGGACTGCAGTTGTGAGGATGAATTTCGAAATTTTCTTTTAGCTTTAAACTATTTATTGTTGTGTGGGGAAAGGTGGATGGACATCTACTCATAAAAGATCCTATGGCTACAAATTTACATGCCTTATCAGTGACTAGCATGTATCCAAGGGAAGATATGAAACTCACATGTTTGGACATCCCAAAGTCAGCAAGCTTGACAACTCCAGATGCATCGACAAGCAAATTAGCCCCTTTAATATCCCTAAATAGAACAGATAAACAGCATATTAAGCCACCAATGATTCATGCAAGAATACTAAAATAGGTTCTTTCCTCTCCTCAAACTACTAGTCTTTCTGTGCTTAAAATTTGAATTAGAACTTAAAAGTGGATGTCATTCACTTTTACGCTCTAATTGGCTATTTTAGGGTGCATGCCAAGCCTTATTTTTAACCCAGAAATCAGGACTGTGATTTACACCTGTGGATTGTCTTTGTGCTGTGCAGGTAAGCCAACCCAGAAAGAATATGGCGAGTAAAATTGCGAACAACAGATTCTGTTATGGCACCACAGTGATCACGAACATATTTATTGATTGAACCGGGATGAACATACTCCAGATATATATAGAACTTGTCTTCAGCCTGCATATGCATAATTTGAATTACTTAATAGAAGTTCTTAAGATAATAAATGGAGCAAGAGAAGGTATGTTACTTACTATTTCACTACCATAATACTGAACTATATTTGGATGCTTGAGCTGGCTAAGAACCTTAATCTCCTGCAATGAAAGGAAGCAGTTAGGAGGGCAGTAGAAGAAACAAACAGCATTAGGTAATCATTAAATTCTCACTCTTCTCTCTCTAGAGTGAAGAAATGTAATATTTGCTGCAGAAAAACCTGCTCTAGTTGCTTTATACACTCTGCAGATTTCGGGTCATCAGGAAATATATCAACTTCCTTCATTGCACATAAAGCTCCAGTTTCTCTGTCAGAGAGAAGAAGCCCCTTTAGTGTTTAGATAGCAAGAGGAACAGACAGAAAAAATACAAAGAACTCGTATACCTGTTACTGGCAACATAAACACTTCCAAATGTACCACGCCCGATAAGCTTGCCTTTTTTCCATTGGCAATTCATTGGCAATGGCTCTGGTTTAGTTATAACTTGGGGAATGGAAGCTGATGATGAAGCCATGGATGCTCCTGGAGGAAGAGGTAATGGATGTACGTTAATGGGGCCATTACTTTCAGGTCGGGATGCTGAGATCTCAAGTGACAACCTCTGAAGTATTGCCGAAGGAGGTCCACTTTGGCTTCTTTTCCTTTGACGAGGACTTCTATTTGGTGGACTGTGAAGTGGAGTACTGTCAGTGCTAAATGCACTGTAATCATAGAATCCTGGAGAAGGAATCTCTGGAACATCTAACATTGGCATCTCAGATGCGGGCGAGACTTGATTGTCTGTAGGAACCATGTAGCACAGAAACATGTCACCAGTACTCATTCTGTGAGGGCTAATTGCAGTAGGACTGCTGAATGGACTAGCAGGAGCACTCCTAATAGGAACATTCACCCTAAGCTCATCCTGAGAACTGTCTCCTCTATTCGCTTCTTGGTGTGACACCTTAGAGGATGATCTTGTGTCCACATGCGCCGCTGTCTTCCTTGAGTCACGAGAAGCAAACATACTGTAATACCAGAAATTAACAAACTCTCAATTATTGCAAAAACCAGTAAAAGAAGTTATCAGAATGTCAACAAAGACTCTAAATATAAAACCTAAAACTGCTCTCCAAAAGAAAAAGCACATTTTATTACAGCAGCGCGGTCAAGACATTAA